TTAATTTCTCATATTCTTTACTGAAATTGAGATTAATTTTACCTAATTCCCATGATTGAAATATATTAATACTGATAATATAATCTTCTGCTATCTCTTCGGGTATTATTCCTGATTGCAATATTTTGATTAATTTCTTTGCAGAATTTCGTATTATATGACCTTCTGCGAGAAAGTCTTGACATTGTTCTACTTGCTTTAATAAATTCTCCAGCAGGAGCTTCTCTAATTTTTACTGGTGCTTTGGTTTTGCCATCACTACGCCTAATTATATAATCAAATGATATAACTTTATGTTCTTGAATTGCTGTTGTTTTTGATCCTTGATTTTTTTCAATCAGAGTGGAGAGAGTTTCAGCATCTGCTATGCAAGTAAAAGGTGTATCTAATATTTGTTCATATCATTTAAATTTATATATATTCTTGCCTACTAATGGCATTACTGTTCTTTGGACTGGAGTATTAATTCCTTCACAATCTTTCATATGCTGAGCATCAATCTTGGGATCATGGGTTTGATGGCTTACACAATAATCATAAACATATAATCTCCTATTGTGTTTAGTTGTATATCCAGCTAATTTTCCTAATCTATCTCTTCCTTGAATTAAACAATAATGTTGAGATGGTTCTTCTGTTTCAGAGTCATTTCCTGTAATTAATAAAAGCCTAATCAATTTACGTGGTTGATAATTCCCTTCTTTATGATTAAATCTATTATGTACTTTGGATTTAGATGCAATTCTAATTGGAATAAGTTTCTTTTCACTCTATCCATAAATTGATACTGATATAGACGGATTCTGTTTCTCAAATTTCTCCATTGTATCATTGTCAGCTTTTACTGGAAATTGAATCCCTTTGAAATTTAACTCTCCTAAATGAGGATTTTGATTTTGAGGTCGCTCTCGATAATAAAGAGCTGGATATAAATCTTCTAAAATACATCATTCAAAGCATCGATTATCTTCATTCTTAATATTAATAATTCCATTATTTTGTTTTGGTATTCCTTTAGGTAGTGGAAGATGAGAAGTAGCAGTTAATGGAACAAAGATTGGCATTTCAATATTTACTTCTTCTGATACTTCATAAACACAGCCTGAGCCTTCAACAATATAAGTTTCTATTCAATTTTCAATATCCCAAATAAGTTCATCTACAATTCTTGGAATATCTTCTTTAGCAGTTACTACTACTTTTTTATTTTTTGAATAGAACTTCTTTATAATCTATTTCACTATTATCTTCTTCTATTTTATCATCAAATAACCTCTGTTGATCGACTCATTTTTCCTCTGAGGCATAATCATGTTTTGAACCCATGTGTGAAGTCAAATCGATTATTGAAAATATTTATTATTTGTTCTCTAAGTATCCCAAGAGTATTGATAGGGTCTTGTGCATATATGCTTTTTTTGCCTATCTAAACTTTATAATGATCATCTAATAATTTACATCCAGAACTAATAATATCAGTTTGATGAAATTGTGGAATAGGTTCTAATATTCTTAATACTTCAAGATATTCTCTTTCAGCTTTTGGTGATAGAATAGTCTTAGCAATTTCTGAAGGATTAAATAATCTCAATGCATTAAGAAATTCTATTTCTGAATTAGCTAGCAGAGTTGGATTCTGATTTGGTAAATCTTGGTTGTGACATGGATTTTTATTACTATTATAATATTGATGAAGTTTTTGTGGTGTTGAATATATATATCCACAGCTTTCACATATACGATTTTGTTTACGAGTCATATTGGTTTTATTATTTACTTATAGAAAATTGTTTAAATTGAATTTTTACCTTATATAAAAATGAGTACTATGTATATTTGCT